AGTACTGCACAGTCAACCACATGGTCAGTTCAACTCCAAACATGTATTTTTCTTTGTTCTTGCTTCTCAGTAAGCAACTTCAGTCAGGAAAGCAAGACTTCTAACTTGAGGATGCATAGTTTGTATAACAGTGTTTATTTAATGAAAATGGACATAAGGAAGAGTTACTGTTTAACAGTATCCAAGATGTAACTATAAAGCAAGGGGGCTATTGAGAGCAATGAATAAGTCTAACATTAATGCCAGGAAACCTAAATTCCCATCTGGTGGGAAAGCTTATTTTTAAGCTCTCCTGGTGGTGTTTTTTGTGCCGACCACTTGAGTAAAAATCTACTTAGAAACTGGGGAGGACATAAGCTGGACTAGAAAGCATCCATGAGCCCAGCTGTGCAAAGGTATAAACTGACAATAATTCTGCCTCTGCTATCAACCTCAGTAAAGCACACAGGTCAGAGGAGTTTGTCATGTTAGCAGACCAATATTATTTGATAAGGCAGATGTGACATAACTGAGGAAAATCAGAATTAATACAGGGAAGACTATAGAATGGAAGTCCTGAAATAGAATGTTGGAATTAAAAACAGAATTATGATTGTTAATGTGACTCCTTTTCAAAAGCTGACCTGCTGTGGTTGGGGTGAGAAATGCAGCATACCTCAATAGAGCTTTAGGCAGGAATAAGAACTATTTAACATTACCTGGAGTAGTCAAGAAGGTTTGACCTGAGAGAAAATACTGGATATGACATTTGAAGGGAAAATTCTTGAAAAATGGGAAGTGAATGCCAAGTGAAGAAATAGTACGTTAAAAGGAAAAATATATATAGAGAGATAAGAGATAGAACAAGTGAAACAGGGAAATTCAGTATATATCAGACTTTGGAAGCCCGGAATGATATTCATTGGAAGGAAGATTAAGTAGAACAGTTTGGGAATGAGATAGGTCATGCTAGGCCACATAGAATCAATTCCATAAATAATAGCTGCATATTGTTGTTAAGTGTTCTTTAGTTAGTCTCAACTGATAACGACCCTGCATTGGGTTTCCCAAGGTTTGAACCACCAACCTTGCAGTCTGCAGT